AGGTGGAGAGAGACTCATGTCGCCTTTTTCGCCACGTCCTAGACCTCAGATGAAAGAAGGAGGTAGGAGAGTGGGACAGGGTATAAGAAGGACTGATTTTTGGGTAGGAAGGAAAGGAGAAGAAGTTTGGAAGAGGATGAGTGTTATGATGAAATTGGAAGGTGGTGGGGATAGGTGAGTGGATCGTTTGTTCTCCCCACTCATCTTTCCTTACTCGTGACATACTTGGAGCTTGGTCTTAATTCCTTATCATTCGCTGCTCGTCCTGCTATCAGTCCATTCTCAATATGTCATGTCAGCTCTCTCTCTCCCCTCACTCTCTATCCGCTGAGAAGAACTCACTTCATTCTCCTCACATTCTTTCTTGCGTTTGACCCTTGTTCAACCACTCGCTCTCATTCTCTGACACGGACACATCCCTCCACCCATTTCCCTTCGGCTCGTATGGTAGCTGACGATCAGCGAATGGCTAGCCAAGCAACAATCCAGGAGGACGACACTGCGGAGATTGATCTGGGGAGGATTGATAACTGTGAGTCGTCACTTGTCTTCTTCCGAACAATCTGCCTACCCCGTATTTTCTTCTCCCGCCAGTTGGATTTTACACCCAATACATCCACTCTTATCCCACCTACAACTACGGCACATTCGCCTCGAGCGGTATCCCACGTCCGTGTCCAGCTCCGCTATATCTTTTCCTCAACTTTCAGCCATCCTCTCCTCTTTCCCCTATACCATCTCCTTGCCCTCAATCTCATATCCTGTATCCTGAATCTCGATCCCCCTCAGAAACAATCTGGCGGCTTTATCACCTAACGTCATAGACCATATTGATAGTCATCGTCATCGTCGTCATCTTGGTCCTTCGTTCGAAATTATGAACCTCTCCCCTTACTCCTCTCCTTCGTCCTTTTGTACCTTCTCTCTCGTCTGACCCCTCGCTCCCTTCTCACTTCAAAGAATGAGCACTTCATTCCAAAAGTCATGTCCCATCTTTCTGTTCGAATTCTCGAACTGCTCCGAACTTTCACCTCGAAAAAACTTGCATGACCTCTCAATCCTTGGCGTAGGCCTACCCGTTCTCTCAACCGTACTCGTATTAGAATTTGACCAGTCCCACCATTGCCAACAATCCTTTGGACTCATCAATCCTCCTCCCACACTTGTAAACACTTCGTATTGTATGAAACTAGAAAACATAAATGGACAATAAGATACCCTGGGCATAGGACTGTTGACTTTTGACATTGGACATTGGACTTTTTACTTTTGTTTTTTCAATAACTTACTCGTAATACCTACATTGTTATACCCCGTTGCATAGCATGGTCAGAATGCATTTTTGTCGTTTCACTTGATTTCTCTTTTTCGTAAAGTACCATGAAATCACATAATTGATTTTGGAATACCTGGTTTGGATGGTGGTGGTGCAAATGATTGACTTTTCATGTGACAAGTAAATCGCCAAACTATAGCATTCTTATTGTCGTCGTCCAGAGAGAGGCCAGAGGGATCGTCGGGGGTTTTACTTCTGGAGCTGTAACTATTTGTAGGTCGGACTATTTGAAGACAGAATATATGAGTGATACGTGATATGATTCTATCAACAAATAGAGTGCCTTCCGTGTTATCATAGCAAAGTAAGAATATCAGGAATGAAAAGTATTGGAAGTGAATAGTCATATGTATCAAACTAAGAAACACGGGATGGGAAGAGAGACGAGGGCAAACATATGAAAAAGATGAAAGAAGGAAAAGATGAGTATTCTGGTAGATCAAAGTGTGAACATGTGAGAAACAGAGAGAAGGATTCATATTGTACATGTAGAAATATGATACAAATCTTATGAAGTTTCGTTCAAAAAAGGTCTTCAAGTGTCATTTGTCTATTCATTAGTTGAAACTCCCTTTCCTTCTCATGTAAAGGATATGTGTTGGTATGTCTTTTATCTCATGGATAGAGGAAAAGGATGTCATTCGTATTTCTCATTCCAGTTGGGGGTAGGGATGTCACTCGTTATTCTTGGTCCAAGATAATATGAGATTCTCACTCCGAGATCATGTGAGGTTCTCACTCCAAGATCATATGAGAATCTCACTCCAAGATCATATGAGGATCTCACTCCAAGATCGTATGAGGTTCTCACACCAACAGTAGAGGTTGGAGGAGTATAATTGGATATGATAGAAACCGGAATCACACGGGGTCATATTGGTTGAAAGCTCGTTGTGGGTAACATAAAGGTGACAATTCGAGAAAAACACTCTCGGAACGTAAGGATTCATAGAGTCGAAGGGGATGAGAAAGTGTGAGTTGGTCTAAAGGAAAGAAGACGTTGCAAGTTGAAAAGATGACATTTGAATTGACAGAGTGACGAAATGAGGGTTGGTCCGATGCCTGGAAGATTCACCAAGGTAGGAAGATGGGAGTTGATACAAGGAAATTCAAGATCGAAAGAGATAATCACAGACTCTGAGATTGGAATATGTCAAATGGTGAAAGAAGGAATGGGATGAGAGGCGGCGAGAAGGGTGGAAAAGAACTCAGACTGACTTGACAATGTCCGTATTTTCAACCATGGCGGCAAACTCCTCGAAAGACAATTTCCCATCTCTATGGATTAGCCGAACCGACGTCAAAACTCTTCAGGTAATACTCAGGTAATAATTCTCAAAACGGTAGAGGAAGTATGGCTGTAGGATGATGACAAGTGTTGACAAGATCATGTAGTCGAAAGTGAACGATGGTATACGAATCACTCACCCATCTTTATCCGCCTCCATGATGGTCTTATCTACGATTTGTTGGAGTTGTTGGTCCTGCAAGTCAGCAATATCCTGGTAGTTGTCGATCCTTTCACAGCTACATCATGCCTCAAACGCACAATCGACTTCGTTGTTATAATGGGACAAAGGCCGGAGTACATTACTCGGAAGCGAAAGCTCCAACCTGATTGGAAGGTGAGAAAATCATCGGGAAGAAGGAGTATGTGGAAGAAAGAAAGCAGAGTAGTCATTTTGTGGCTGTATGCCACGAACCCACCTTCAGATTATTCCCCACCATCTGCTTTAACACCAAGTATAGTTCACCATTACTGATGAACCCATCCCTGTCCATGTCGTAGACTTTGAAAGCGACTGATCATCAATGACCAACTTCTCATTCCATACCTCGCCTTCGAGATATGCTTGTTGGGCGAATGTACCACAACCGACAGCTTTCTCACTGAGCGGTCCCTACACAGATTTGATAGATATCTCAAGCACACATCAAGACGTCGGAAGACAAGAGATAGATTATGTGAGAGGGATATTTACTCACATCTCAATTTCTCCTCTCTACCTCCTTTGGAAGAAAACGCACTCAGTCCTCCGACAAACTCTTGAAAGTCGACTGTTCCACTCCCGCTGATATGTCAATGACCGCCCTCCTTCCGCAATCTTATGCGGATTGTATAAGCCGGGAAGGAATCACATTTCCAGGACAATATATCGGGTCACGTAAAGGTGGGAGTAGAGGTGGGCAGGGAGAACATAGGAGTCAGGACGGGCAAGAGCAAATTCAAGGAGAAGGGGAAGAGACGAAGGTAGAGATACATAAGAGTTGAGAGGAGATTGCAGAGGGGGAAGAAGAAGATATTCACTCTTCATCAAAGATAGCAATCATACGATGAGCCAAAGGATTATTCGCAATTTGAGGTATCTGCAAAAATTCATCCTTGTCAATAGATCCAGATCCGTCTTTGTCAAGTTTCATGAACCTCTTTTTGAGTCTGAGAAGTTCAGGACCGGAGACTGATAATGAGCGTAAATTCTATCTCCTCAAGCTATGAGTATGAGAAGCTGATGAAGAAGACATGCGGCGAAGGGATGGTAGAATGAGATTTAGGGCTTTGTTAGGGAAGGCGTCAAAAGTGAGCAGGAAGGAATGTATGGAAACGGGTGCTTGAGGGGTTGGAAAAGGGATGTATAATACGTACAATTGGAATTCTTCTCCAATGAGTGGTAAACGGTAGACTCGGCTTGACCCATAATGTTCGTATGAGAGAGGAAGACGAGAAGTAAAGGAGAGGAGACAACGAGGTGGTCAGGAAATGTGGCGCTTCAAGAGACTGTGATCCTGTGAAGTACCTTACTCTATGTACTCGTAGTGGGGGATGTGGAGAGATCCCTTAGTATACTGGTCGATTCACGAGCGTCAGAGATCAGTGATCCGTGATCAGTGATCAGTGAGGTCCTGTCGCAAATGACAGTTACTTAGAAGCCAACTTTGCGCACAACACCAAATCTCTTCACGCACAACACTGTCACGTGACTGGTTGATAGGCATGCATACATGTTGTTAGGCGTGCATACCACGTGACCTGCACGGGCCTCCCTTCCAACTCTTCTCATACTTTCATTCAACATCAATCAACATCATTTAACATCGTCACTCTCTCTAGCCCACAGGAGACAAGCTACGGTCCTAAACTCTTTTTCATTGTTCTCAGCACACTCGATTACCCCCTTCTACTACTTTTCCTGACCGAAATACCTTGTGATAACCACAATCTGGTACGTACCTCCTTCTATACTTCTCCTCAGAGGGAAACTGATCCTTTTAGTCCTCTATTTCTCTTAATATCATGTCATCCTCTCAACCAATCGACCTCTGTGACTCTTCAAGTGATGAGTGGTCACTCCCACCTCTCCCCCCATCTCTCCCACCACTCATAAAGGAAGAAACCCCGTCCACTCTGTCTGAGATCATTATACCAGATGTCATGAATGACACTATCAAATAATGACTTGTCATAATCACAAGTTCAAACCTCCACTCTCATATCTTCCTCTGCTCTCAAGCCTATCAGGCATAAACTCCAAGTCTATCTTTCCTCTGCTCTCAAGCCTATCAGGCATCAACCCCAAGACTATCTTTCCTGTGCTCTCATGCCTGACAGGCATAAGCCCCAAGTACTTCTCTAGTTTCTCTTTCCTCTGTTCTGATGCCTTGTAAGGCATAATCTCTCAGTCTCTTGTTCTCGCAGCTCTTCTATGTTCTGCATAGTTCCTCATAGTTCCTCATCGACCACCTTCGACAAAGTCACCGACTTCCGGCGCATCACGTAGGATATCATAGTAAGACGTAGGTAAACGCAGATATGGCATCGTAGGATATCAGTGGTAATCGGTGGGATGCATGGCAATGCATGCAGGACAGTGCAGGACGGTTCAGAGCGCTCGTATTCCGCAGGTCTGCACGAGCCTCTTGGAAAAGGCTGATTTTAGTATTTAAACCCTATCTAGTATTGTAGTTTTCTTCTTCAGCAATGTATCTTTTCAATTCCCTTCCCCTCGTTTGATAAGTCACTCAGTTGGTTCTAACCCAACCTCTCGAACCCTCAGTATCCAAGGCAGTCACCAAGGTCCACGAGCCAGAGACTAAACCCCTCAGTTCCCAAGGCAGTCCTTTGCTACCGCAGTCTACCCGCAGGCGTGACACCAGAGCCTCAGCAAGATAATTCGCCATTTCCCTCTCCCTCTGGTTTATCAACACCATTACGCAACATACACTCAGCTTCTCCCTCTGCCAATACTGCAGACGACTTTTTTGCCCCTCCCTCACCTCTTTCAGGAGCAAACAGCGAAGAAAACCCTGGTTTTGACCCCAATATTGAAAATATCGAAGAAGACGAATTTGGGCCACATACTTGTGTCCCCACACTTCATCATGCTCCCCTATCACTCCCCCCTCAAACATCAATCAATTCTGCTCGTGATAAACTTGACATTATCGTCAGAGACAAAGGGTTTGCTTTAGTAACCGACTCAAGCAATCAAAAGCGTCAGTACATGACAATAAACTGTGTCTTCGGAGGTCATTATCGATCTGGTCGTTCTGCTCAATATGACAAGGTTCGAGCTCGTCAGCCTCACACCCAGCGACTAGGGTGTCCATTTCGACTTAAACTCTCACGGGTGACAGAGGAAGACGCCCTGGCAGATGGATTTCGACCAGTACTGCTTCATACAATGTGTAATGATCATAACCACCCTCCTGTCAAAAGTTTGCTTATCTCACACCTTCGAAAACACTCGCGAACCCCTCAGATCACTTCCCTTTTACAGGAATACATTGATAAAGGGCTCTCTGTCCACCAGATCATCGATTTACTCAAGGAACACCCCTATCAACCCCTCCTGACCCCTGTCGATGTGTCAAACTTCAAGTGGAGGTATGAGAAGAACCGAATGAGTGGACGAACAGTGACCGAAAGTTTGTTTTTACATCTTGAAAGGGAAAAACGTCTCTTCAAAGGCCTGGTTAATTCGAAGAACGAAGCTCTTGGTCTCATTTATACGACTCATAAAGCAAGAGCTCTGGTTCATCTTTATCCCACTGTTCTCATGATGGACTGCACTTATAACACCAACCGATATCACCTTCCAATGCTCCACATCACAGAGATGACAGCAACCAACCTCACCTTTACTGCGGCCATTGCTTTTATCAATCGCGAGACTACAGATTGGTACGGGGTTGCGATAAAGAGTTTTCTCGACTTGATAGGTCCCTTAAAACATCGAATTCAAGTGGTAATAACCGATCGTGAGGTAGCCTTAGCCAACGCTCTTCGAAAATACCTACCAAATGTGAAACAGCAGTACTGCACATGGCATCTGCGAGAGAATATCAAACACGCCTGTGACAAAAAGAATTGTTTTGAGGGAGAGGAAAATAAGATCTTAGCGAGACAGAGGTTTGGGGACATGTGGATGCAGGAAGTGGTTCAGGCCCATGACGATTTCAAGCTAGAACAGGGGATGGATAAGATCAGGGAGCAATTCTCAAAACCAGAGCATTCTCCAGCGATTCGGTACATTGAAAACCTACTCTCTTCGAAGGAGAAGTGGGCCTGGGCCTATGCAAACCAAAATCGCAATCTTCGTCAACATACGACATCCAGGAATGAGGGAGAACATCGATCCTTCAAGGATTTCTTGAAAAGTCATACAGGAACCCTCTGGCAAGTAATTCCTCAGCTAGATCGCTTCCTGGAGAGACAGTGGGACAGTATTACATTGAAAAATGGTCAACAGACAATAAGAACAGTGTTGGGGGATCGAATGCTCAGTATTATCAACCGAGACATCTCAAAATTTGCTGCTGAGGCCCTGGAGAATCAGATTCGACTTGCAACCAAGCTTCTAGGTCAGCCTGACCGAATACACAATTGCTCAGGACGATTTCTAGCTTCAATGGGTCTCCCCTGTGCTCATATGATCACCAATATCATGAGAAATGACGGGGTACTGACTATCAACCAAATACATCACCACTGGCGACTTCTCCCTCATGATGGATTTGATAAACATCTTGAAGATACCAATAGCAGAGTACAACCGACTGCTCTTCGGGCCATTGGAGTTCATCGACTTGAAGACGAATTCGAGGTAGTTAACGGTTCCCGCCATTTCATACTCGATCCCCCTGTTAATCTTGGTCTTCGTGCGAGGATGGCCATTCGAGCGTCTGCTACACAGGCTGCAGCTTCCCAATCTTCTCTTGCTTCTCAAGGAATAGCAGTGGTTCAACCTACACCAATGTATTCAAGAAATCCACCTCAGAGGCCTCCCTCTTCAGGTTCGAATATCTCAAAATTGTCAAGTAATCGCCCTCCTCAAGCAAGTACTGGTCGAGTTCTCTCACAAAGCGAACAATCTGCTCCTTCACGCCCTCTGCCCCCTAAATGTGACCTCTGTACCAAGCGACATGCGATTACCTACATGTGTGCAGCAAAAAAAGCAGTGACCGCGAGAGAACAAGAGTTATTGGCTCGATTTCAAGCAGAGAGAGAAGGAAATGCAGTAAGGATGGTGGAGAGGCCTCCGGTGATGATGGAATCAGCCTCTGTGTCATCACAGAGGCGTGCAGAGATGGCCAGGACAGCCTCTGAGTTGGCCAGGACACTTCCACCAGTACGCATTTCATTGGAATCTCTTCCCTCACTTCTCTTGGTCGATCTATGAAACTTCTCAGCTGATTTATGCAGGTAATACCTCAATATCATCGTTATCCCTTCCACCCTTCTCCCCAGTTCGTTCCAGGAGCCCCTGGCCCCTCTAATTGGTACCAGAGGCCACCTATGTACCCTCCTGTGTTGAATTACTCAAATTTTCCACCTACCTTTTATCCACCCGTGTACCCTTCACCGTATGTTCAAGAAGAGCTCAGAAATGGCTCAAACTTCGCAGAAAGGAGTGTCCTAGAGGCCAGGCACGGTGGTATGAGACAGGAATTCCCCCCTGCTGAGTATCGGCCAGGACAACAGGATTCAACCGGTGGACAGGGGGGTGGAAGGTAGATCAATGTATCTCAGTGAGTTTTCCAGATTTCAGTGTGAAATCTTTACTGACAGATAGAGGAGGAAGTGCTTCACATGTCTATAAAAGAATCTGGTTGATTTTATGCATACAACATGGACTTATCAATTTTTACGGTTCACTCACTTTGACCAGAGGACAGAGAGGTTGGAAGGGAGGCCCGTGCAGGTCACGTGGTATGCACGCCTAACAACATGTATGCATGCCTATCAACCAGTCACGTGACAGTGTTGTGCGTGAAGAGATTTGGTGTTGTGCGCAAAGTTGGCTTCAGTTACTTACTCGTGCGGCCATGTCAGCGCAACTGTCCGTCACAGGGCGTGATGTAACTGGTATGAGTACAAAAGTTTTGCGAGGGAGAACAGAACGGTGAGGATCGTGTAGCGGGTTATAACGTGGTCCTTGCGGACTCGGCGATCGCCGCTCTGAGCCTCACCTTCGCTTCGCTGGTGTAGATGGCTATCACGTGATCTTCACACAAATGTGTTCCGGTCAAGGTCAGCAGTTCGATCCTGCTGTGAAGCATTCTTTTGCCTCAGCAGAGGCCCCATGTCCCTGTTTTTCCGTCCACAAAGAGGATGCATGGCAAGTAGGTGGGAGCATGCGGATCAGCTTCTGACATGTCACACATTTGTGGCTGTGAGTGAACCCCCGCCACACTCGGCGCAATCGGCAGGGGACATGTGTTGCACTTCGCCCCTCCTATCATAAATCAGCTCTTGACCTGCCTGGGAGAGAGCCCCGTAGATTGTAGAAGAGCTGAAGTGGGGAGGGAACAGGAGCATGCAGAGCTGCATGGCTGCATGGCTGCAGAGACAAGTGTATGGGCAAGGTTTGACAGTGTTAGGCGCGGGCGCTCGGGGTTGGGTACTTGACTGATCACTACTGAGAGCCTACAGCATGCGATTTTGCGGGGCCTAAACGTCATTCCACTTTGCACATTCCCTTTCACCTCTCCATCTCTTTCTCTCGTGTGTTCATATCTCCCCATGTCACATGTCTTGAAGATGGCGTGGGCATTGATCTTGGATGACAACCCTCCTGCCGCTCCCCCTGGTAGTCCTCCTACGCGTACGTTCACTTCTCTATCCACCCCCCGCTAACTTACTCCTATGAACAAACGAGCTGACCCGGCAGAGAAATTTGAAGGTCAGTCATGTCTCGATCCCCCGTGACCTACTGATATGCTTAGGCCCATGGTTCTCAACGCAACTCACCCTCTCCCTCACTATCGGTCTCTGCTCCTTCCTCGTTTTCTGTTTTCTCCGGACGAAATGGGACATCGTTTACATGGGGCGAACAAAGCTCAAAAGTAAGTATCGAGTATGTCTTCACAACTCACCACTTCTTATCATGACGAAGGGTATGCAGCTAGCTGACGTAGGTAGACTTCTCTCCCTCACAGGCTCACAATCCCGATCTGAACAACACAGCTGGGAGTCGGTTCTTTGGCTGGATCTTACCTACTTGGAAAACGAGCGAATTCACGGTGCTCCAGACTGTCGGCCTCGATGCGGCTGTGGTGAGTCCACGATCTCGAGTCTCAGATCGAAGCTTACGGATAGCTTTTGAGCTTTTATAAGATGGCTTTCAGCTTCTTTGCGTTGTCGGCTCTGCTGGCCACGGCCGTTCTCATGCCGTTGAACTTCTTCGTGGGTTATGACTGAAGGCTGCGCCCGCACCCCACTCGTCTTTTCCTCTCACTTTGTCACCTAGCTCTCTTCAGCTTATCCGATCTCGATTCACTCTTGATACGAAAGCTGATGTCAGCGACATGGAACCACCGATGCCGAACCTGATCCCGCGACCAATACAACTGACTTACTGCCCTTTCTTCCCAACTCTACATTCCCCGTTCTCCAACCCAACTCGACTGTTCCTCAAAAAACCCTATATGATCTTATCCTAGATCCTCAGACCTCTGCACTTGTCAATCTCATCTTCACATACCTCTTCACTGGGCTCTGTCTGTCCTTTCTCCATCGCAATTATCACCAATTCGTCGTTGCCCGACAATCCTTCGCGCTTCACCTGATACATTCTATCTCGTCTCGTACCGTTCTTGTAACGTGCGTCCCATCACATCTGCGTGGTGACCGAGCACTGGCCGATTACTTTGAAGGCTGTGGGTGGCTCGTTGAAAGTGTCAGCGTCTGTCGAGAGGTCGAAGCTGTACGTTTAGTACTTGAAAAGCGGACCAATGCTTTGCTCAAGCTCGAGCAGGCATGGGCTGACTGGGTGGGCAATCCCGCAAACGCGACTATCAAAGATTATGATCCGAACGTCTATACCGTCGCCAAAGGGACTCCAGCGGAAAGCGGCCCAAGTTCACCCAGAGCCGAAGTAGACTCTCTTGGTTTTTCTACCAATGGCGAACAAGGTACGGAGAATGGAACCTCTGGGGCGTCGACCGAAGAGCATGGGACAGCATGTGTACGTTTGCATACGGGGCGACCGAGACCGACGTACAGACCAAGATGGTTCGGCACTAAAGTGGATGCTATCGAGTTTTGGGAGAGGGAGTTCCAGGTAGCCGATGAAGAGGTCAAGCAGTTGAGAAGGACTGGAAAGTTTGAGGCGACACATGCCGCTTTTGTGACATTTGAGAACGCGAAGGACGCAGTGAGTGTAATCTTTCTGCCTTTGATGTCCATTCGTTGTAGACCTCTGTATCTAAATCTAGTGCTGACGACCTAGCAAACGGCCTGTCAAGTCGTACACTACCCTCACCACACACAGGTCGTCACTGAACCAGCTCCAGAACCCCGAGATGTGGTCTGGAGCAAAGTCTCCATGCCCACGACAGAGCATCACATCCGGGATGTTGTCATCATGGCGTTGGTAACATTGCTATTGCTACTATGGACCAGTGAGTAGCCAACGTACTTTTACCTTCCCCTTTCTCCATCTTCACATTGACTCTACCTCGACATTCGTTTCCGTCACCTTCATTGTTGAGGGAGTCATAGCCGCTTACGGTCAGTCCCCGTCGGAAGTGTCGCCACTCTGCTCTCTTACAACGAAATCAAGAAGGTTATGCCGTGGCTAGCCCGTCTCCTGGACAGCTCTCCTCGTCTCGCCGCAATTGTCCAGAACTCTCTCCCTTCTCTGGCGATTATCACTTTTAACGGGTTATTGCCTTTCTTGCTAGAATGTAAGCGGCTTTCTCGCCTGAGCGTGACAAAGACTGAGTGGTAGGGATGTCATATCTTCAAGGATTTGTCTCTCGAAGCGCAACAGAATACTCCCTCATGAAAAAGTAAGTCACTTTGACAGCCACATGATACTTACGGATAGGTACTACCTTTTTCTTCTCGTGTCGGTCTTGTTCATTTTTTTGCTCACTACGACGTATCTCGCTTTGGTGCGAGATTTAGCGGATACTCCGATGAAGGTGGGGGTCATTGCGATGGAGAGTATTGATACTGATCCGACTACAGATACCTGAGAAGCTGGCCTCAGCTTTGCAAGGATCAAACGCAAGAAACTTCATGATCTCCTATGTCATGCTGCAAGGTCAGTCTAGGGCCTCATATTCATCCCCACATTCTCTTTCTACCATTTTCCACGGTGCCCTCTCAATGTCCTCTTCCACGTTCACTGCCAGGATGAAAATATCTCAATCGCTGATACCCAGCTCTCGGTTTGATGCCTCTACAGCTTCTCAATGTTGGACCTCTCTTTTCCCTCGGATTCGCTCGTTTGAGCACTAAGACCCCTCGAGGTGAGTCTACCTGGGATATGTCTTATGTAGGCAACTGAATGTCAGATTACGCCGAAGCGAATGCACCCCCTATGCTTAATTACGGTTGGGTGTATCCTCAAGCCCTGTTGATCTTCACTATCACATTGGTGTATAGTGTGGTATCACCTTTGATCTTGGTCTTTGGGGCTATGTACTTTGGAGTGGCATGTGAGCTTTAACTTACTGTCCTGTCACGCAGCTCACGATCAGACCTAGTTTATAAATATAAGCTTTTGTTCAGTACGTCTCCCCCCTCCTGCTTGACCCCCTCTTGTCCCTTACTATCCATTCATACCTGATACAGCGTGATTGAAATTGGAAGCAGATCTCAAAAGTCCCAAGCGTAGACCGTTGCCACTCTTGACTCAGCCTCAAGTATGGACGTTAGCGGAGGGTTCGAGACCGACGAAGGGACAGAAGTGTGGTGTCATGCTTAGCGCTGATCGCAGTTTACTTTAAACCCTACGAATCGAACGGTGAAGCTTGGCGTTTGACCTTTGCCCGCCTCCTATGGGCCCTCATGATCTTCCAGGTATTCATGACAGGTCTTTTCTCCCTTCGTCCACCGTATTATTTCTCAGGGGCTATGGTCCCTCTTCTGGCATACACATTGTGGTGGTCTTGGACCATGTATCAGAGCTACGGGGGATTGAGCGAGTATGTCGCGTTGAGCAGTATATGCGAGGTGCAGAGAGGTGAAGGGGCGGATAGTGTGGCTGGTGTTGCTGGAGAGGGGAGCGTGACTAGGTCACAAAGGTGGGTTGTCGCCTACCGTCTTCTGGTTTTTCTTCCTGTGCCTCCATCCCGCCATTTCCAGGTTCATCCCCCCACTTCCGCGTGACCGGAATTCCACCGCTTTACCTTGCGCCATGTACGCCTGTCCTTCGTGCTCATCGTTGTCACTCTGACACGGCGGAAACGCTTCCATTTCTTCTCTTGTTTCGAGAGGGAGAGAAGTCTAGCTTTGACACTTATGGTGAACTCGTGAGAACCGCTCACGCTTAGTAACCTCAATCACCGCCGCTACGCAATGAACGACGAAACTCTCTACGTCGCGCCCTCTGACAAACGTACCGACTATTCTCAACCCCCAATGACTAATTTCTACTATGGAGTCCTCAACACTGGTCGACGTCGATATGCTCATCCAGCCCTCTCGGGTCAATTACCGACACCATGGTTACCAGCCAAGCACCGTCCAGAGAAGTTCGGTGACAACGCAGCTAAACGTAGAGGTGTCGTACTTTCACTGAGAAGACAACTCAATAAACGTTTAAGACATTCTCAAGCGGAACCATTACTCGAGGATGTTCAAGCTGAGGAGGTTCAGCCGATATGGCCTGATGGAGATCCAGAAGCTGGACCCTCTACTCTAAGACCCGATACCATTCCTTGGACAGGGACACAAGGAGGTGAGAGAAGTATACCGGGATCTAGTAGTAGTTTAGGGTCGAATTTGAATCCATGGAACGATACACGAATCGAAAGTGGGAAGGTCAAAGCGAAGAAGAGTTACGATTCTGTCAGTGGGGTTATATTTTTACCTAATGAGGATGAGAATGTTTGGGCGAACGAGGAGGAGTCTGAAGATGAGGCAGAGCATGGAGTTCCAGAATCACCCGTATGTCTTTTTTCTCAATTTATCCATCTCTCATCATTCTCGCTACTCTCATTGGCCCTCTTTCTTCATCGCTCCTTCACCGCCGCGATATTTTCTTCCCGTCGCCGTTGCTCTGCCACAGGATGGTTTGCTAGGTAATAGTCCCCAGTGTCGAGGGTGTCCTGGACTATTCGATCTGCTAATGAGGATTTCGAGGTATCCTGAGGGAGCAGGTCGCGGAGAGTGGAGGAGAAAGCAATCGAGATATTCCAGTTGCTGATGTCCAGTCAACATACTTTCATCACCCAGAAAGAAGGAGAACGCTTTCAAACGTTGCAACACTTAGTGAAGGTGGAGTAGGAGCCGCTCCGGGTGTTCCTCCTGTTCAAATGCCTCAATGAGGGGTAGAACATATGCATATCTGTGTTCTCCTACTGGTAATGCTCTTCTCTTCGGACGGTCAAAGGTGGGATTTGTCAGAGTCCACCTGGAGTTCTGACAAGTCAAGGATGAGTTTCCAGAGGGTAACCCAGGGGCCAGGCGATAGAGTGCTGCATTCTCATGCCGCAAGAGCATGAAGGTTTCAACTTTGATTCCGCCACGTCGGGAATATTCGGCGATATACCCTCCTCCCCCCCCGTTCTCCTCCTTCCTTACCTCCGGGCTGTATACGGTACATTCCATACAAAATAAAACAAGATGTCAGCACCTATATGGAGAGACTTCATGTCGTGAGTTGCTCTTCTCTACTCTGTATCACTCTCACTTCACTACCGTAATCCATCTCAACGGCCGGGGAAAGAGCCACAGGAGTGTTGAGACCAATCTAGTGAAAACCTGGGACAGTCATCTTTATCATGAAAGCCACTTGTCCAGTTCTTCACTACAGGCATCATATTAGCTCGTGGTCGAATTATCCGATTCATCTACACCTCACTTCTTTCATGATGAAACTCTGGGCCCAGAGCGGGACGGTTACCACGAATAAACGAAGGAGACGATACTTCGAATTTGCGTCCTCAAGTCTTTTTCCATTGATTAGCTATCATCATCACAAACCCTACGAGAGCTGTATCTACCGTTCATAGTATCATTCAACTTGACAAAGAGAGAGTTTGAGTTGGAGCAAATAGGGGGGAAATAAATTTGGAGCTGATCGATAGATGGAATAAATATACTCAAGTCGCTTCACGTGCAGTCAGACAAGCGTTGACGGAGACGGAACGTGTGGCAGCGGAGAGGAGAGCTACAATTGGCGTGTGAGTAAACTTTTCTTGATTGTCTTTCTTTTCGAGATTTAAACATTCCAATATTCCACCATATCATTATCATCAGATCCTTATATCTCCTTAAAAGCATTCTTGTATGTCGAAATTGCTTCTCTTCCTCCTACCATCTATTCAATGGAATATCATGATCACTTTCTTCTTTTCATTTGCTGTGTAACGACTACATGTGATGTCTTGTGTTGAAGAATGGGATGAGTGCGATGCTTTGTGGTCAGCCCGATCTTGGCGGCTTTTTATGGTCGGCTCCATCGCATGGAATCGTATCACAATATGATCCTAGTCGCCGATGTGAGATGTCGAGCTAATGCCATTAGGAAGTACCAGATCTGGGAGAATGGACAGGGTGGTCAATCGGTACGTTCAAAATATTCATCTTCTAGTCACTTGACCCTCGACACTGCGTTTCGTCAACACCCTTGATGTTTTGTCCTCCTTTGCCTTCTGTCGTTTCATAATTCTCCGCCCTCGTGTCACATTGTCACTCACATGTCGATATGACCGGACAATCGGCTTTGCCGTTACTCTCGGACCTAGCAATGAGCTACTGCGTCTCTTCGTCGTGTGTTCACTCCCCTGTATGCTTGGCTAATAAAAAATAGCAATTTGTCGTTCCGCCCCCTCCTGCTAAGCCGTCTGGACCACCTGGGGCGTAAGAAAAAATCATTCATGAAGTAGAAAAACATAGTGGGTGGTATGCATACATTATGGTCGACTCTCTGTCTTGCCCCGTTACATCTCAGCCGGCTCGGGTGAACGAACCAGGAATGATATAAAAAGACCTCATCTTTCCCTACTTTTTTAACCGGGCCACTTGAAACAGCTTGGCAAAAATGATGACAAAAGAGAAACAGATTCTCGTACTCCGACTAATGGTCCTCTCCCCCGCAGACAGGTTTGATGACACATCACCCTTCAATCATGTAAAACCCGACGGTTTCGGACGGTGCACTCGCGTATTTCGACTTATCGCCCCCTCGCCGCCGTCCACCGCAAACACGTTTGATCCTACTACCGAGTGCACAACGCCTTCGGAGCTGCCACCCCGACAGTACTCGATGTTTTGATTCACAAAGGGTGACATGGGTCATGGGGTAGATGGACAATTCTTCCATTGGCACTATTGCGTGCGTCGATCATGCCTCAATACATGTTACATTAGGACCACCAAATATAAAAGCCCCGTCTTGTTCTGGTTCTGTCATTTACATCATCTCATCTTTCTGTCCAGAACCAACCCGTATCATCATCCTCCTCATCACACTGCTCATTATTGCTAATATGGATGACCAATCTGCCCAGACTTTCATTGGAACAGACGCCTCGGATAATCTCACGGCCCGAGAGACGAAGCACCTTCATATATGGCCTTATTACATGGAAGATCCTTTCGTAACATGCGCCACCGCTATCCAACTGCCCCATCCTGGTCGACGCAAAACTCTTCAATCTCTAAACGACAGTATTCGATCTAGAGCCCTACTTCTAAGTCGCTCTGCCTACCCAGCTTCCGAATCAGAATGGAAGATGAACGTGAGAAATTCTATCGCACAAGCTCTGGACACCACTTCTTTCACCGATTGTACGGTCACTTTTCATGATACTTACGATCTCAACGATGAGAATGATCCTGTAAGGAAACACATGGATCTTAGACTTCAGTCTATTGATATTGCTAAACGTAACGCAGTAGAAGATAGAACCATCTGTGTCTCTACTGGTATTACTCAAGGTCGAGGACCTGTTTTTGGAATCATATTCCCAGAATCCTTGGACCAATTTGGTAAAGCTCTTTGTACCAAAATGATGTCTTTAGCCCGTTATCCAAATCATTCGCCTGCTAAAACCAAAATTGATAGGTTATTAAGTGAAGGGGGATCAGAAGCTCAGGTTCATTTTGAACAAAGAGCAGAAGGGGCAACATGGGACACTTTGGAAGGAACAGGATTGTTGAACGACGGTTTCAGCGTTAGGATGCTCAAGGCAGAAGATACGGACTAGGACGTTGATGCGGTGGAAGAAGTTGAGAAATCCTTCTTTTGATTGAAGAGTAAGTTGGAAATAGTTTACGTGACTTTCTAGGATATCACTGAATATTCCGCATGGACTGAATGAATGGTATTGCTTAGGGAACTTTTGTACACAATTGTCATTATTACTCATCTACACAATAAATGAGACATGACCTCTACTACAGCTAAAACTAATTTACCTACCAAGTGGATATGACTTTTGGGAGATGACCCATGATCACCAATTATTCTAACCTGTTACTTTCTGTCAGTTGACCTTGACATTCCAAGAATGACTGCTACTCCAGTCAATTACACTTCCATTACAAAGACCAAACCCGGAACAAAAAATTCCACGTTTCAGTGATCACTTTCTACCCTCAAAAAATGGACATTTGAAATCCGTACGATCTCTAATTCGTCCCGTCTTTCATATTCAACTTCTACACCAATCAACACAACTCGTTTATCCGCGAAATCGTCAGCCCGTCACCCATCAACTCGGCCACTGACCGATGGCGATCTAATCATAACTCATTGTAATGAGTATCTCGAAACCTCCAATCGAGTTCCTAGTTGGTCAACCTGACGTCTTCCTCCTCTTTCCCATCGTCAGCTGTCAAACTCCACTCATGGCCCAAAATGAGGTGTGTGGGATGGGTTGACTTGTCCGTGAGATATTTCTAGTTAGGGAAATGAAACTCTAAATTTAGACAAATTCCCACGCTCGAAAAAGGAAATTCTACCTGCCGAAGTCAAGCATCGCCACGCGGAGATGGAAATTGGCCTATTCGGTCAAAATGTACATACGTATCACCCGCGATTGTTATCCTTTCCCTGGAACACTTCCTCTTCACCCGTTGAACATTATTTGTCAACAAGACCAAGGGCTCTGGATCAAAGTCTCTAACATGACACAATATCTTACTTTTGACCCGTACCACGACTTTCAAGAGGACGCTTCCACTCCATCCCAAAAAAAGCGTTTGAAGAAATCTAATCACGTATCCATACCCTCTGTCATCTTGATTGGAAGAAAATGGAAGCCAAACTTGACTGGCCAACATGCAACACTCATGACATGGTACACTCCTGACCCATGGCCCATGATTGATGCTTTCCTGGAATATCCCAGTCTTGAAGGTGATAGACGGGCAGAGGACCTCAGGGATAATATCTGGAACATGGCATTGGCAATAAGCCATGGTGAACTCCCTCCTAGTCCGCAGGAGTGGTTTCCTCTATATGAAAGTGCTGTAGCCAAGACACTCTTACTGGACCAATATGCTGATTGGCAGGTCACTGTCAAGATGGAGTATGATGTCTATGCTCCAAGTGATCCCACATACCAAATAATACGGATGGAAGTCGCACGTTCTCGGGAATTAAGTGGATCTCCCCTTCTCCTTGGACTGACATATAACGACGGAGAGTATACTCTCTTCACAAATGCAGTAGAAAACAATGCGGAAGCTGACATTCTGCGGATTTCTGGACTCAAAGGTTGGGCCTCACACTTACTTCCTACAGAACCAAGTGCTAGTGATACAAGGCTACAAGCAAGGATTTTTAGTGCAGCAGTTTGTTATGATGCCACTTTTGGCAATGAGACACGAGGGGTGGTATTCATGTCTGCTGTTCAACAACAAGATGCTTATGATAGTTGGAGTGGCTCACAGAGCTGTCCAATCGGTATTAGCTTTTCATCATCTGCAGTGCAAAGCAAGGCCTATACTGTATCATACAAACCATGATTACATATTTTGAGGCTTTGCTACCATGTCTCCAATATGTATGACTGATGGTGCTCCCAAGCAACCCGTGTCAGTCCCTCAATGAAGCTGCATGTTAGAATCCTTGGTGTCATAAACATTGTTTATTCCCTTCTTGGCTGAGCAACAGTTGACAAACCTACGCTAACTGCACCGTGGTAATACGTCAGGGCAATAACCAATGTGATGATCATCAATGAACTGCGGCTAACTTCACCGTAGTTGTCACAAATATACGACTGATGATGATGAAGCCGCAATGGCGTGTCTCAAACAGTCTTAAAGGCAACAGTAAGTTAGAGTAGAGAGTTGAGATCAAAGATGACAATTGATCAGAGAGACAGAGAAACAAACAGAGAGCTAGATCCACTATTTATAAACAAAATCCTCCAAACCGAGCCTAGAACTCCTTCCTCTCCTCCCCTACTTCAAGGGGGGAAACCCTGAGGAAACCCTGTATCAAAAACAGTGTTTTAAACGAATTTTCAGAAGCCTCTGACTCATCCTAGAAACCCCAGAAGAGATCTCCTCATCAAAGGCTGTAAACCCATTGAAAAGTCAGTCGAACAAAGGAGCTGCAAGAAGTGATCTTGAGGCCTGGGAATTAGATGAGCTCTGATCTTTCAGGGGGTTCAGAGGGTGTTTCTTAAGCGCTCACATCATGCAGATTCTGACTCAAAAATACCTGGTTCAATCCTGCTAGTTTGGTAGAGGTTCAAGAGGTTTGAATATAGGCTAAATAGGCTTAGTAGAGTGGTTTTCCTTCTGTTTCTCTCAGTTGAGTCGTTCACACTGCTGAAAGAGACGAAACCTCTAACTATTAGTGCGTACTACTCATCACTAGTGTGTACTCTTCATCAGTGGCGTACACTTCTTGATCAGTAGCGGGTGTGTATTGATCAATAGCGTGTTTTCCATATTCAAACACGTGTTTTCACAAGGCTATCCTGACAACCGGTTGACCGGTTGATCCTGTGGTTGACCCGGCAAACCAGTTATTTGGTAACCAAGGGAGTCGTACGACCATTGACGGACGTACATACTCTCCTATGACGTCAGTGGTGTGATTGCTAATTAAGGCACCCGTGATTGATCATTAATTGAGGTACCCGTAATTGATGGCTAATTAAGGCACTAATTAGTAATCAAGGCATTGATGGCTGATTATCAATCATTGATGATTCTGTTGTTTGTTGATTGGGACGGGCTCATACACAGAAATAGATGCCGACCGGCCATCCGGCTAATATTACTCCCGAGGTACCCTCGCTTATCAGTTCATCCGGTCTGAGTGGAACCGAGGACACGGAACCTGGTACATGTCGGCCGGAGCTTGGGATGATGACAGATGACGACAGATGACGATAGATGACAACAGATGATGTGATCAATGTATACAATGTCGAGTCAGGTTGACTCAGTGATGGGAGGGTGATTAAGGTTGAATGGTGATCCACATGTTGTACAATGGAACGAGTTGAGACAATTTGAGTCAAGTTGACTGCACTTGAGTGGATGATATGCACATGGTATTTACAGATATTTGAGGGTTATGACAGTAGTGCGTCAGACTGCTCAATGGTAGCTCTCCAACTCAATGGTTGTAGCTACTGAATATATCCCTTGCTAGCTACTGACAACAATCAAGGATTGCTGAACTTCTTCAGTGATCCCTATATTATATATCAGTTGCTCCTCCATTCCTCTCACAGAACTACTCTCAACCCTTAGAACTTCTCCTGACCTTCAGCACTGCCTTGCACTCTTTCCTCCTGCCTCCTTCATTGCCTAACCTCCTCCTACCCTGGTCCCTCCATGCTGACTTTGCCTGACCTGGCTTTACCTCTGCTTATCCATCCTGTCCTGATATCCCCCAAACCCTCACTTTGCCATAGTTACTCTCACTTTTTATATCTACCTTCATCTTTGCCGTTGTCACAAGGTTGCTTCTTCGTTAACTTCCTACGACCAACGGCCAATAACTTCGTGGGCTTCGACCTTTACCAACTTCGTTGTTCGAGATATGAAATAGGTGACAATAACTTCTGGGTGTAATAACTTCGTACTTTACTAACTTCTATCACTAAGACAACAACCAGAGATCGTCAAAGATCTCTGGGAACTTCGGCCCTTAAGTACTTCGTCCTTCCCTAACTTCGTCAACGCAGAACTTTGTTCAACCCGAAGTCCCAAGCTTCGTACCTCACGAACTTCGTCCCCGACGAAGTCCGTGCCTCCCTAACTTTGTATCTTCCTCGTATCTCCCTAACTTCCTACATGACAAACTTCGCCCTCGACGAAGTTAGCCTCCGCATACCCTCGTGGGTGATGAAGTTCATGAGAACTGGGTCGTTGATGGCGAACTGATGTCCAAAGGAACCTTGTTGATGGGGAAAGATGATGTCACGCGGCACCGCGTGACAGCCGTATTGTAATGCATACACCTAAAGGAACAACTGTGTCACAAACCATGTCTTAAAATCCCTGACAACTACCATCACTGACCCTCCTTTCACCATCACCGAACCACTACAGTTGTGTCACGAGACCAACTAACCAGCATTCGGACGATATAACAGTGCCCCTCAGAGACAGTGTCTGAACCACTGCGCTAAAAGGCCTATTAACCGGCGGTTACTGCAAAGCGCCAGTCGCTGGTTAAATACCCAACCCATCCTAACACTGTCCAAACTGTCTTGTCACTTCGTGACATTATGCCTTCCCTTTCAGCCCCCTCTTGGGGCCCCAACAGGGACGGGCAGGATAGGCCGAAAACTTTCTCCAAGAGGAAGGTTTTTCCAAGTAGGGACTGAGCACGACCCAGCCCACCCTGGGAGTCAAACCCAGGATCCTACCCGTAACCGCCCGTTAATCCGTCACGAGACCAACTAACCAGCATTGGGACGATATAACAGTGCCCTTCAGAGACAGTGGTCTAAACCACTGCGCTAAAAGGCCTATTAACCGGCGGTTACTGCAAACGCCGGTCGCTGGTTAAATACCCAACCCATCCAACTCTAACCAAACTGTCTTGTCACTTCGTGACAGTAGTTAGCCAAGGTTTGTCAACTGTTGGTCAGTGGAGAAGAAGAACCGACATTTGTGGCGAACTGCACTAAGCTCTTGTGCTAAAAAATGGATCGCTCATCTTATATGTAAAGGTACTGGAAACACAACAACTAAGTTGCAGGTTAGGTCGAACTTGATGGAAGTCTTGTGGAAATCTATGTGTCTCTGGTGCTGTGTGATGGATTGTGTCTCCTCTGCAATTGATGTAGCCAAAGAATGATATTGAAGAATCCGCAAAGTTGGTACTTTGCTGATTGTACTATATACTATCTACAGGGATCTGTGTCCTCCTCTCAGTCCTACTGCAAGTGTCTATGTGCATACTTGGATAGGTGAAAAACCGCTTTGAGCAAACCCAGTGGGGAAGTCTCATAAGGGGAAAACCCGTCCCTACCTAATTGCAGCACTGCCTCCGAATTCCGCTCTTCTCTATCCCAACCTGTCAAGTTCAATGGATCTGCCTTGAATCATTGTCACCCTGTAACATAATTGTCTTCAAGAATAGCAATACAACTGTGAATCGTCCAAAGTGCTCTGGTCCCTCCTAAGAAGTCAGTTTTGTAGACGTGTGTAATGCAGAATCTACCCACTTGATACTCCAAAGACTTGCACTATAGTGGTTGTGCAGTGACTGTAGGCTACTCTATATACCAAGATCTCAAGTTGGCATTGAGGGGGAGCTTGTGGTCCAGTGTCATGAATAGTGATAAGGAATTCTGACTCATGCTCAGAATAGTGATAAGGAAATATGACTCATGGTAGGAACTGTGATAAGGATTGATGGAAAATATGAGTCATGGTATTTAGCAGTTCAGCAGTAAGGCATTTACGTGATTGGCTGAAGCCTGGAAGGTTCAGCAGTTTAGCAGTGAGGCATTTATGTGATTGGCTGGAATTAGTTTCCCGCGGTGCACTCACTTTGAGGCATTTATGTGATTGGCTAGAAAATCCCTCACACGCTTTTTATTTAGTACACCTACTTTAGTTTTGAAGGGTATAAAAGGAGTACATCTCCCCCCTCTTTCTTCAGCAATGTATCTTCATCTTGAACTTGAACTTCATCTTTGAAAGTCACCTAGTTGGTTCTAACCCAACACCTCAGTACTCTCAGTACCTAAGGCAGTCATCAAGCTCTACGAGCCAGAGACTAAAACCCTTCAGTACCCAAGGCAGTACTTTGCTACCGCAGTCTATCCGCAGGTGTGACATCCAGGTCCAGTGGAATGAAATGCAGAGTGTGTGCTGGAAAGATTGCATAGCCAATGTGGCTCAAGAGGTGACATCTATAAGGTATGGGAATGGTTATGCTCACTTGGGAGATAAAATTCAGCACAGATTGTGTCAAAATGAGTGAGAGGAATGAACATGCAGTAAGAGCTATGAGCTATGTAATGATGGTTCTCCAAGGAGCTGCACAGATCTAGAAAGGCAAGAATGAGCTTGCAATACTGGCCGATAGGGGAGAGTGGTAGTGGGAAATCAAGTGTGAGGTCAATACCTCCCTCATGTATGTTTTGGGCATAGCAATGTTAGGGACACAGCAGGGACAGACCCCTCTGGAGCTGCACAGGATTGATCAGACCCGCGGGAGATGTTCCACTCCTGTCACGCCAGCGGGTAGACGGCTGTAGCAAAGTACTGCCTTAGACACTGAGGGATTTTAGTCTCTGGCTTGTAGAGCTTGATGACTACCTTAGATACTGAGGAGGCTGAGATGTTGGGTTAGAACCAACTGAGTGACTTATCAAACGAGGTTAAGAGAATTGAAAAGATACATTGCTGAAGAAAAGAAACTATGTAAGAACTATATGGGGTTTATATCTATTTCTGAGTCCATTCTGGGATGTGTGTTGTCCTGCGTAGGAAAGAGTCGTGACTCTCGATCTCATGTGTATATTCAACCATGGATCAGAAAGCTGTGTGGTCTTTGCAATGTGATGCGTACAATACGCTGTTGACCGCACGCAGGACGACGTAAACCATATGTTTGCCTTAAATCTAATTAAACTGAAGTCTTGGGTCTAATGCCATACCAAGCAGACTAACTGAGGATAACTTAACTAAATAAAGGTTCAGGTCTCTTGCCTTGGAGGCATAAGAGCAGAACTAAACATGAAGATACTGATACTTAGACTTTCTGCCTTGTGTGCACAAGAGCAGAGCTGATGATTCATGACAACTCCAGAGCTGGATACCCACTGAGGCATTCCTTCATGGAGAAATTTGTTTCACCTGCTTCCACCGTATCCTGCAACTTACAGCATACAGAAGTACTGAAATGTACATTTGAAGTAAGTGCTGAAAGCACTGTAAGACGTAAGGTCTTGTTCTACTTATTACTTGTGATGACATGCTGTGTGTGTGGCATTGAAGCAACTAGACAGACTACCAAATGCCTGCTATGAAAGCTTTGATGTTGGTGAAAACCGCTCTTGGAACTGTCAAGGCACCCATAAGAACCTCATCCAATTTGTGCAGTATGGAGTTGGAACACTTGGAGGTTTCACTGTTGAGAATGCTCTGGGTATGCGAGAATGCTCTGGGTGTGTT